TGACCTCATTTAGAAATATTTTATTCTTTAATAAATTTTCCATCTGGCGACTTAGATATATCATTCGATACAGTTTTTCATGCTCTTTTTAAATATGATCTCAAAAATTAAAAATAAATAGTCCTAAGTATTGAAAAATGCAAAATACTGAAAAAATAGAGGTCACCACATAGTTGGTACACATGTTAGCCAATGAAATTTTTTCTTTTTTTCGTTAAATCATTGAAACTTTGCAAAAAACTTTGAAAATGTCTGATAAAATAAAGTAGTTATAGGAGCAGAACTGTTAGTCACTGTATACGCAGGGCTGATCCCAGACCGCACGTAGAGCCCGTTCTGCTGAGCGTCTGAGTTTTTTTTTTCATTTTTGTATCTATCAATGTATCTATCTATATACATATATATACATATGTGGACTATATATCTGACATAAAATAAGAGTAGCATTATCAATTAATAAACTAAACGGAACAAAGGAAGAATAACCCGATGGCTTTACAAGAATGAATGTTTATGTACAATACTAGTGAAATTTAATGATTTCAAAGTTCTGAAGCGACTGGGATAATTTCAATCATCAAGACTTATTTGATTAATTAACTATCAATTTCAAAAATAAATAAAAATCATGTTAAAGTATATAAAATGTTGGAGTCGTCGTCACTATCATCTGACTCATCATTGGATATATCAGAATAATCTTGTGCATTCATTTATTGAGTTATGATACGATGATGATCGTGGTTGCAAGGGTTTTTTACTATGTCTGGCAAACGAGAAGTAAACAATGACAGAAACTACATGACTACAGCAACCTATCACTCTACTTCCGTTGGGACATGTACAGTACCATCCCAAAATATTTTTGTTATTATATTGAACGTAAACATCACAGCTGATGTCGTTTTTGTGTCGTGATTGAATTTGACTTCTTAAGAGACCAGATGTTTGATTGGCCACTTTAGCTATGTAAGTATCGTCCAAAGAGAGATGTTCGGCCGTATAGGCACGAGCTTGTTTGAGTTGATAAATACCAAGAGTTAATCCTTGTAATTCTTCGAATTCCATTTTAGGAAAGGTTGGAAAGGACCTTGTTGCACTCACTGGCAGCCATTTTAAATTTTTTCCAGTTGTTTCTTTCAATTGTTGTACATAGTCCTTAAGTTTGTTTGATTGATGCAATAGTTTCAATAGCTTTTCGCCAATCTTTCTGTCATTTATAAAATTGTTAATCAATACAGGACGATAGCAGTTGATAATGGCACATACGATTCTGAAATAATCTCCAATTTTTCCAATCATTGTGTTTGGAACGATATTGTTGAAAAATCACCATTGTTTTACTCTTCCATTTGCTGATTCGATGACCCACCTAATTTTGGTTATTAGTCGAGTTTCGTTTGCTTCGATTGTAGTAAATTGTTTTTGATGTTTTCCTAAAAATTTAGGCATCTTCGTCTCATACCCAAACCTGTTAAGATCATCTAAAATATCTCGGAGTCATCTATCGACGACTATGACATCACCAGGAGCTAGCCAATCCAACATATCTTCTTTGTTATTATATATGATACTTTTTGTTATTTCCGCATCGTTATTCTTGCTATCAGCAAAGTATGGTCCAATCACGGATATAATATATCCATCCGTTGATACGATCATCATTGGTTTAACAAGTGGTTTACCCTTATGAACACTGTAAGTTCTTCTTTGTAATAAGTTGTTGGCGGACTTTCGTGCGTAAACATAAGTTCCATCCAGTATGATTATTGCTTTATTTGGATTGTCATTAGCAAGAAGTTGTTGTGCCAGTGGACGTGTATGTTGTTTGAGAACTTGCTCTCGTGTGATATGATGGAAGCCAAGGTGTTTCGGAACAAAATACTGTGTTAAAGCGCTATTTGCACTCTCAAGTATTCGATTCATTCGTCGTTTATCATCGATTCCGAACAATGTACACAAAGTATCATGACTAACACCAAGTCTTAACTTTACAAGAAGACAAGCAATAGCCATGCGTGGTGTTCTCACGTCAGTTGTTCTTAATGCTGTTGATGGTATATATGAACATAAATCATTAAACTCGTTACGAGTTAATCTCGTCAATATATGATAGTGTTTATCTGACATGAATGTTTCATTATCATTGAAGTCTAATAGTGGAGTATTCTTTAACTTATTGATTGTTGAGTCTTTATTTTTCAATTCTTGTTTCATTTCATTGAACATATTGATTAATTCATCACGATAAACTGTACAGTGGTTTGAATAATTTTGTTTAATTTTGTTGATTGCATCTATTTTTAAGAGACCATTGGATACATGGGCAGAATAGCATTTGCTTTCATTTTCAATAAATATATGATGTTCAATTAAACATTGAATGCGTATTGAAGTGTCAATTTTGATTGAACGACGACGTTTCGGATGAAAGTCAGCATTACATATACAACATTTTTTCGTAAATTTATCTAAACGATAAAATGGCAATTTCATTGTAGAATCGGATAATTGCTCAATGGAAGCTGAGTCAGTTGTAGTGTCAGACGTTCCTGTAGACGAGGTTTTGGTAGACATAAATATTCCAGATGGTGATGTTGATGATAAATGATTATTCGATGGTTCCGTTTGAACTCCAACATCTACTTTTATTGTAGGCGAACCTTCTTGATTCTGTTTTCCATCATTTTTGTTATTTTTCTTTAAATCGAAGAAGCGCATGTAGCACGAGTTGTGCATTAGAAGATCAATCAATTTGTCATGTAAAACATACTCAAATAAAGCTGGATAATTTTGAAGCGAACAATATTTTCTATTTTTCCAAAAATACTCTTTGCATATGAAACATAATAATTTCTTTCTCGAAGCCATTAAAGAATGAAATTCAATAAATAATAAAGGACTTTGCACTTGAATAAGATAGTAGTCCCACTAGGACTGTTGGATTTTTATTTCGTGAAAAAATACTAGCCCTGACTGACTGATACAAGATAACTGTATTGATCAGTAAAAGGGCAAGATTGATAGCGGTTACTGAGAACAACTTTATTCAAAAGTGACTCAATATTATGTGAAAATAATCTTGTACTGATATCTAAAATATTATTATGATTCCAAGACCGAAATCAGTATGAAACCCTATAGTGAACAAGGCCGTTGAGAAAACGTCTGACCAAGGCAGTTTCATTCTGTATCGATAGATTTCTTCAGGAAAATTATTGATAGAACTGTATGAGTTAGGTTAGTAGCTAAAATAATGAAAGCGTTTTGCAAAATTTCAATGATTTAACGAAAAAAAGAAAAAATTTCATTGGCTAACATGTGTACCAACTATGTGGTGACCTCTATTTTTTCAGTATTTTGCATTTTTCAATACT